GTTTTCTTCTAGCAAAGTATGCTAGAAACATTGCCACAAATTGCTCGAAACACTCTATGTGCCCATCCTCAATTTGGTGGTACCAATCCAGCACCACGCCTGCAAAGGTCGACGGGAATACCTTGCACAAGGTGGCATCTGAGTTGTTGTAGAGTTGCATCTTTGTGAAGTAGTCGTTCAAATGGTCATCCGGGTTCGCCGTCCCTTCGTAGACGGGAAGTGGGGGTATGTTGGTTCCAGCTGGCTCCATTAGCACGTTCCTTGCCAAGGACTGTCTTACTAGGCAATGTCGGGGTAGGCGCCCGTCGAAATCTGATTTTGCCTGGTCTCCCAGACGCCACACAGACGTGGGGTGCCTCGCTTGCCCGGACTCCTCTTCTGCCTCCACATCTCTTTCCCTTTTCCTTGAAGTCGGACTACGCACCATTCCCTCTCCCTTCTTCAATGCCTCAACTTCTCGCTTGAGAATCTCAATCGCCTCATCCTGGTCTTCGATGAACCTGAATAGATCTTTTTTGGCGAGCGAGGCGCTATGGGAACTCGAGAACCTCGACTCAGTTCCTGCCTCTTCCATGGCTTCGGGCGTCCTCTCTCTTGAACCCGAGGAGGGGTTCCCGTGATTTGTTCCTCCTCTCCACTCGGCGGCGCCTCCATGTTTGCAACTTTCGTTCGTACTCCCCTTCCTGGCGGGCCAATTGTTTGTGCCCGGATATTTTGGAGATCAACTCGCGGACCAACCCATGGACCGGGCAATTGATGTACTTTCTTCTTCCTTATTGGGCCGCCTTGGGCCTATCTTTGCAACTCCCCCAACATAATCTATATTCTGGATGAGAGGCAATGAAAACGACAGAGAAATTTGACGGCGACCGCCGATGGGAGGAAGAAGCAGTGGTAGGGGTAGGATCGAGAGAGGTGGGGTTCAGGAGAGAAAAGTGTATTGTGTACGTAGTGTAGAGAGAGAAAAGGGATGTTTTTTTGGAAGAATGAATTTTTGGAATGACAAGTTTGCCCTTATTTGAATTTTACTTTATAAGTTGAGTCAACATATGTAATTTAAAAGTCAGATAAACTCTATATTTTTATAAACTCTATATTTAAAAGTCATATGTAATTCAAAATCCCTTGGGAACAGGATTGAGGAGAGGGTGACAAGCTTGTCCATGGAAAGAAGGGTGGTAAGCTTGTTGACTTCACAACGAAAAGTTCTTTGAATATAAAGATGGTAAAAATTTCCGCAGCTGTGAATATTCGCTTGAATCCGACCTAATTGAATAGGGAAACATCTGAATCTGGAGGATATTTAGTGGACACGGGTAAAACTAGAACCTGAATATTGTGGGTAATGAGTGGACATTGTTTTCTCGCTATCCGACCCGAATGCGTCCGATTATACACATCATATGCATTTTGTCTAAAAATGATCACTATGTTTCTCAACATTTTATATTTAGCATACAAATATAATTATTTTCATGAATTATGTTGTTTTAATTAATATTCTTTATTCTAGTGATTTATTATCGTACTTTTCCTCTTATTTAATTTGAGTCTACGTGTAAAAGTTAACATGTTGGTTGGAGTTAGATTTTTCTTAAAACATTTTATTAATCGGCTTTTATCTTCTTCGTTTTAAATTGAATTTCAACTTTTTTCCATAGATGAAATGAGTTTGTTGTGACATACAAAATGAGATATTATCAATATATTTCGAGGAAAAAATTTCATACCACTCATCACCACCTTGGCACCACCTTTGTTTTTAACTCGAATTTTGATTTTTTTTTTTTTTTGCATAGATGGAACAAGTTCATCGTGATCTATTGGATCTAAAATATTTATCAAAAAGTGAATAGAGGACCAAAATATACCACTCCATACCAACCTGGTATAGGGATGGTAACTAGTGGTATACAATGATGAATGTGGTAAATGATAGTTCGTATATTTCTACTATCATGTATTCAACCATACTACACTCTTGTATGTCCATACCACCATAATACACTTTCATATCATGTGGTATGAGTTTATGTAATATATACAAAGCATCACCACCATGGTATATGCTGATAAGAAATGTCTTAATTTTTTTTATTCCAAAATATATCATAGTGAATATCATTTTAAATAATATAATTAATTTGATTTATCTGTGAAAATAAAAAGACTTAAAACAAAAGAGAAGTAGCCTCATAAAAGTAATAGGAAAAAAAGTTAAGGACCTATAAATGGTGATGTGATAGGTTATGCATGGTTATTCACCTTTAAGTTACGATAATGGTGGTCACATCGGTAACGACAATGACAATATTGTTTTACTAGCTTCAAACCCGGCCCGTTGACTGGAATGTTCATATTTGATTATTTTTATATTTATGTTACGTTTTAGTCTGTCAAACTGTTTAATTTTATTTACAAATATTCTATCGAAATAATACATAAAAAAAGAATATATGTGGGTCTAACATTCGGAGAAATATCACAATCATTTAAGAATATGAAATATAAAATGTATCAATAGTCCCATTTTCATAGTGATAATTAATCCCTTGTTAAAAATGGCATTGGTTAGTTGATTGTCAAGAAAGATAGAGTATAAAAACTAACAGGAATTCCCACACGATCGATAGGTAGTTTGATAATAAATTTTAATATCATAATCCTACATAAAGAGGCAAATGCTCTCATTTTAGAAAAAATATGCTGCTAATAAAAAAGAAATGGAGAGTTGTTGGTTCAAGTGAAATATATACTAACAACCCAGCTAAGAGGGACCATCAAAACTCGAGAACAAATGACAAAATTAGGGTTACCTCCAATATACTAATAAACTCGATCAAAGCAAGAAATCGCAAAATTAGACACTCATTATCTATCAGTTCCAGTAGATTGAATAAAGAATCGACCTACTTCAGTAATTCAATCAATGATTCCTCGTTTTAAGATAAAACAATATTCTAAATTAGTTAAGTGGATACAGTAAAACACAACTGCTAATAATAATAATTTGAACCGAGCGTACGTTAGACTACCGTACGTCCGTTTGAGTTTTGCTATTTAGATAATGAATTAACCAGAGTTTTGGGCATGATACTATACCCTAACTTGGGATGGCAATATTACCCATACCCATCGGTATTTTACTATCCAACCCAATTGGGTTGGGTATGGAATCCAAATAGATGTTAGATGGGTAGAGTTTGATGGGTTTGTACCCATACCCATTTACTTGGGTTGGGTTGGGTTTTTAACATATGGATTTGGGTTTGTACCCATACCCAAATGTGAATTATAGCTTGGTACCTAAACTTAATAGTTATGCATATTTAGTACCTAATTTTTTTTTGCATATAAGTGCTCAAAATATCGATGAAAATTTACATTTTAGTACCTAAACTTTTTTGGTCTCACATTTTGGTGCCTAAATTTTTCAAGTTTTTCAAATAGGTCCAATTTTTGTATGTGTAGTTAAAACACCCTCAAGTAAATGTATATCCATATCTAACCCATACCCATTTAGATAATATCCATGTCTAACCCAAACCCATATACAAACCCCAAACCCATGCACACATCACCCAAACCCTACCCATAATAAATGGGTCTACTTGGGTTTGGGGAAAATTATCCATGGTCGGGTAAATTGTCATCCCTAACCCTAACCACTAATGGATAAACCCCTGTCCCTAGATTTCTAACTCAAATCATGAGATTCGTTTAATCTTAAAATGAAAATCAACAATAATTTTGTCGAATCAGAACCGTTGATTTTCATTTCAAGATTAAATGAATATTATGCTTTGGGTTAGTGAATTGCGGACTGGGGTTCACCCATTAGGGTTAGGGTATAATATCATGCATATATATATGGCAAAGGCTAGCGTACACCTGACATATGCCATACGCTTGTGTTCACACTTAATAATTAATTATTAAATATATTAATATTAATAATTATAATTACAACCCATCCCATTAATTAGCTGTTGTTTACACTTTAATCCCCCAATGATTCTTACCCCCAATGATTCTTATGCTTTGTTATGCAGTACAGTAGTAGTCCGCAAAAACCAATTCACTAACGCTACTCATCACCATGGAATCAAGTACAACCAAACACATCCAGCAGTTGTAGGAAAGGAAGCGCGCGGTAGAAACACAGCAACAGCAGAAGAAACACACATTGGTATATAAAAGCCAGTTGAAATAGAAAGGTCACTTTTTCTCTCTCTAGTTTTTTGAATTTCTGAAGCTTTTTCTCAGTCCCGTTTGAATTCCTGCACTTTCTTCCCAGCACAGCCTTTGTGATCTGGATGACTTTACTCCTCACTTGCTGAGATGACTACTAAACCTCCTTCTTCAAGGAGATGATTCATACACTACTCTTAAAGCAAAATAACCCCCCTCAAACCACACTGCAGCATTTAAATAGGAAGGCAAAAACAGAGATGGGTAGTTGGAAGAAGGTACATCCAGCATTAAAGGATCATCAACCATTACATCTATTCGCAGAAAGGAAAGTGGCTCCGGTAGATATGAGTCTCTTCAAGCCACCATTACTGCTCCAAATCTCAGATCTCTCTCCTATCTTCTACTCTGATCCTCTCAAGAGATCTGCAAATTGCAGTAGCATGGAGGACATTTATCAAATCATACAGCTGGACGAAGTGTTTAATAAATCTTGGGAGGATGACTGCTGCACTTGGTTTCCACTATTTCAACCAGAACATTTACTCCGTATCAGACTTTACCTTGAGCCCCAAAAGTGTCATGTATCGGACAGAAGAAGAGTAGACTGTTATGCTTTTATTCCTCATCAAATCTTACCTAATACAAGGGAAAGGGACATTAGAGTTATGACGAAGCCTAGATTGAGTTATAAAAGCAATGGAAATCGACTGAAGATTAAGACCCTTATGCTAAAACCCACCCCTGAAGAAATAAACCTTACCTTGTTCTGCTGCCATACAAACCCAGCAAAAGCCACTTGGAGAAAGATGGATGTTAATGCTTTGATCAACCAAGCGGGTGAATGGGATCTCGAGATGAAGCCAGATGAAGCCAGGATAGCACACAATAACACCCTAGTTGGTAAACTGCTGTCTGAAAGAACAGTCAATGCTCGATCAATGAGAAACATGATACGAGCGGCATGGCTTGACAACTTCAAACCAAAAGTCCATGAAATGCCAAGGATCGATGATGCTGGGGAGAATACCTTCACAATTGACTTTGAATCCAAAGAAGAAATGGAGGCGATATGGGAAGACCGCCCATGCCCAGTTTCTGGCACTCTGCTTCAACTCAAAAGGTGGATCGGCACGGAGATCCCAGGGGCAATCACTTTCAATCATGTTGATTTTTGGATCCAAATCCATAATCTGCCGGAGGCTTATCATACTGAAGGTAATATATCCATGATAAGGAACATGTTTAACCGTCTAATTGACTTGGACCGTAGAGCTTTGCAAGCGCAGATCTACAGGCGGTTTGTTAGGGCTTTCGTGGAAGTTGACCTGACGAAACCACTCCCAGACGGATTCTACCTTCGCCACCAACAGAAGAGAATCTGGATCGAGTTTAAGTACGACAGATTGATGATGGTGTGCTACTACTGTGGTAAGATTGACCACACTAAGCAAGAGTGTGAGTCTCGAAGGAACCCAGAAGGAGGGAATCACCCACTTCCAGACATTCAACGTTGGGGGCCATGGACAAGGGCGAGTTCGAATGCTTTCTCACCTCGGAATGTTCAGCAGCTGGAGGCTGAAGCCATCATCAACAAGGATGTTGCATCTTCCTCAAATCCGACGGATCGGGCCTTCCAATCGCCGACGGCGAACAGCGGTGCTCCGACGCAGAACGCCAACATTGGGCCCCACCAAACTTTGGGTTTCTCACCACATCAAGGTCAAACCCCCCTGTCAGTGACTAGCCAGAACTTCCCGTTACAAACGACTCTTTCCCCTTCCCTTAACTTTCTCTCACCCCATCAGACACTGTCACCGCCGTTCACACAAACCCAGACATTCATCTCTCCAACTCTCCAGCAAAAGACAGTCTCTCGTAATCTCTTTGGAGGGGTAGAGACGGCTGATCAATCCCAACCCTACCCAAATAACATCTTCTCTCCTGTAGCTTTTATGGGCCCAAATGTCCCTAACTCAAATTTGGGCCATGTTCCAACCCAACCCCAGACCAATTTCTTTGTTAACCATAACTATTTTAGTGTTGGGCCGAGTGGAGCTGTTAAACAATCAAAATCTCCAGCCCGCCACACTTTCAATTCTCGCAGGCTGTCCTCTAGCCCAACTCAGAACATTTCCAAAAAGAAAAGGAAGGCGGGCTATGTGGCTGAGTTCGAAAGGGAAGAAACAGGGGAGCCACATACTCTGCTCCATCACTTTGTGAGCAATTCAAGAGATTTCTTGGCAATTTGTGGAATTCAGGAGGAAGAAGATGAAGAAATTCCACCGGGTTTTGGCTCAGGTGCTTCTGTGGACATGGTGGCCGATTCCAAGCCACCACAGGGGCCATGAGTACAATTGCTTGGAACTGTGGGGGATTCGGGCAGAAACCTACAATTCGACAACTTAGGAAAATGGTTAATCGCTTCAAGCCATCAGTCGTTTTCCTGTCCGAAACTAAGAAGAAAGATTCTTATATGGAGAAGAAAATAAGAAATTTAAGGTTCTCGGAGCACCACTATGTTTCTCCAGAAGGCAGAGCTGGTGGTCTTGCTTTATGGTGGACCGGAAATCTTGATCTGCAAATTCTGGATTGTAATGGTTTTTTCATTGATGCTTTTGTTAACTCTGAGTGGGGTCATTTTATTACTTTTGTTCACGCTCCCTCTAACCCCACTGATCGTAGGGATTTTTGGGATATCCTCAGTAATCTCAGGGAAAATGGGGAGGATAGGTGGGTAATTATTGGGGACCTTAATGCTGTTTTGTTCAACGAGGAGAAGAAGGGTGGTGGGCTTCCTAGAAACGAATCAACAATCCCTTTTAGGGACTTTGTTAATGATAATGGTCTTTTGTATTTGGGCTATAGAGGACACGATTTTACCTGGGCAAACAACCAAGAAGGAAATCGTAGAATTGAGAGTCGTCTAGACAGAGCCCTTTGTACGCCAGCTTGGAGAACTATGTTCAGCGAAGCTATCCTTTTTCATGAGCTACCTCTTGAATCAGATCACTCTCCTCTCCGGTTACAACTGTTTGGGATTAAAGATAATAGACATCGACCATTCAGATTTGATGAAAGGTGGCTCAACAAGGAGGAATGTGAAGAAATTATCAACCGAAATTGGGAGAATGGTAGTAATTGTGCAGAGAAGTTAGCGAACTGTGAAAACGAGTTGCGAAGTTGGGCTAAACAGGTCTACAAGGATCAAAATCAGAGAGCACTTGATATTCAAAAGAGATTGACCGAATTACTTCAGCTTGATCGTGATGAAGGAATTGTGCAAGAAGAAAAGGATCTTATGGCTGAACTTGCAGCAATTTGGAAGGATGAAGAATTGTTTTGGAGCCAAAGGTCGGGAGTAAACTGGATACATCATGGTGATCAGAACACCAAGTTCTTCCACACTTCCACAGTACAGAGAAATCATAGAAACAAGATTATCACTCTTAAGGATGACTTGAATAATGTTATAAACAAACCTGAAGAGATTTCTGATCATGTTAGTGATTACTACAAATCTCTGTTCACTTGTTCTTCTCAAGCTCCTGATCCAAGCATCCTTCATGACTTCCCCAAATTAGTCACGGAAGATATGAATCAAAAGTTGTGCAGCCTGCCTTCGACTGAGGAAATTAAAGCGGCAGTGTTTGACTTAGGTCCAAGGAAATCCCCAGGACCGGATGGATTTGCAGGACTTTTCTTTCGTCGGTTTTGGGGAAAGATTGGTGAGGAATTCTGCAAGGAAGTGCAGGATTTTTTTAACTCATCAATGATGCCACATGGGTGGAATAATACCCACATTGCTCTTATTCCGAAAGTCCTTGCTCCGGAAGAAATTTCTCAATTCAGGTCGATCAGTTGTTGTAACTTCAGATACAAGATTATTTCAAAGATCATGGCTAGCAGACTGAAGCAATGGATTCCGGGGTTAGTTTCTGAAATGCAAGCAGCCTTCATTGGAGACTGATTGATTCAAGATAATATCATTATGGTTCATGAAGTGCTACATCATTTCAAGAATCGTCGAAAAAGCGGAAACTGGGACATGATGTTGAAATTAGATATGCGAAAGGCATATGACCTTGTTGAGTGGGATTGTCTTGAGGCCATTCTTCAGGCTTATGGGTTTGATCACATATGGAGAGGTTGGGTGAATCAGTGCATTCGAACAGTCACCTTTTCGATACTGCTCAATGGGAGCCCTACTGAATCTTTCACTCCATCAAGGGGGATTCGACAAGGCGATCCTCTGTCACCATTCCTTTTCATCCTACTCTCAAATGCTCTCTCTTTCTTGATTGATAAAGGGGTTCAAAAAGGTGATATTCAGGGTATCAAGCTTAATCTTAACTGCCCAGTCGTTTCCCATTGCCTATTTGCAGATGATACGGTCATTTTCGGCAAAGCTAGTATGAGAGAAGCTTCCAAAATTATGAACATACTGAATCAGTATAGAAGTGTCACAGGCCAGGAGATAAATGTTGCTAAATCTTTTGTGTTCTTTAGTAAGAATACTGCAGAGACTATCAAGGATCTCATCACTACTCATTTTGGCTTCCCGCCAACGATTTGCCACGATAAATACTTGGGGGTTCCTACTGAGTGGGGGAAATCAAAAAAAGAAACGTTCTCATTCCTGATTGAGAGAATGGAAAAAAGGGCAGACTCTTGGAAGAGTCTCCTCCTATCTCCCGGAGGGAAAGAAATCCTTTTGAAGGCAGTGCTTCAAACAATTCCGACCTTCATTATGAGCACTTTTCTTCTCCCTCTTTCCATTACAAATAAAAAGGATTCCATTCTGCGGCGTTTTTTTTTTGGGCAGGTTCTATGAAAAAGAGATCCATTCACTGGTGCAAGGCTCGTGTTCTGGAAGACCCAAAGCAGGTAGGCGGTTTGGGATTTCGAAATTTCCATCTTTTTAATCTGGCTCTTGTTGGTAAACAGGTTTGGAGAATGTTGACGAATCTGGATGCCTTGTGGGTCAAGCTACTCAAAGGCCTTTATTTTCCGGATGGAGATTTCCTTTCGTCTAGGAAAGGAAGGTGTGGTTCCTGGATTTGGAATGGCATATGCGACACCAAGGAAGCACTCAAACCAGATATTTTTCGAGGGATCATGTCAGGGACTAAAACTAACTTCCCTACTGATCCATGGATCCCCTCTATCCCATCATTCTCACTGAGGGACTACATTCTTCCACCGTCACGGGTCTCTGATTGGATCAATCAAGATACTCGTTCCTGGGATGTTGAGGCCATTCGAGGAGTCCTTGATGAGAGTACTACCGAAGCTATTATGCAGATTCCAGTGGGACCTGCTGAAGCTCATGATGGCTGGGTTTGGAAACACAACAAGAATGGCAACTATTCTACTAAGTCGGCTTATCATGCCTTTAGGGAGCGACGTGATCATCCGGTTGCTGATTCGGAGATTTTTTACTAGAAATGGTTATGGTCCCTTTCTCTGCCACCTAAGATGAGATTCTTCATCTGGAAGTGTGCTAAGAAGGCTATCGCCACTAGGGAGATGTTATTCTCCAGATCATGTGCTCCTAACCCCACGTGCCCTCTTTGTGATGCACCTTCGGAAATAGTGATGCACTGCCTCTTCTTTTGCCACCATGCTTCTGCTACTTGGGGGCTCTCTGATTCACTCCATAGCCTCCCTCCGGAGAACTCATCCTTTGGTGAGTGGTTCTTTAATCTCCAAGACACCTATTCCAACACTCAGGTCCGCAGGATTGTGTGCTGCTTATGGAGCATTTGGACTGCTCGCAACACTTTCGTGTTTGAAGAAAAGGCTCCTACCCCGGCCTCTTTTGTGATTGTGTCGGGTCGTGATTTCTTGCTAATAGAGCAAGCTAGGAAGACTCCGTCGAGCTCTCCTCTCTCTCGTACGACACAATCTCACTCCCAGCCTAGGGGTTCCCGTTCGAACCCTTTACCACCGCCCCTCCCGTTTTCACGGTTGATGTATTGTGATGGTTCCTTTGTCTCAGATTCATCTTTGGGGGCATATGGGATTACTATTGCTAATGCCCATGGTCAAGTGTACGACGGCAAGGCTGATTCTTTCCTCTGTTCCCATCCTATTCAAGCGGAAGCCTTTGGTCTCCTCAACGCCATCTTGATTGCAGCGCAAGACACAGAACCTACCCGCATCCGAACAGACTGCCAGGTTCTTACTCTTGCTCTTCGTCAAGACCCTTCTCTTTGGCCTTGGCAATGTCGTGCGACGATTGCTCGCATGGTGTCGGTCATCCATTCTGCTCCATGGATCAAGGTCGATTTCGTTCCTCGGCGTCTAAATTCACTCACGGATTGGGTTGCTGGCCAAGCTCGACTGAATACATTACCGGTGGACTAGATTGTTATTTGTAATATTATTGCTCCACTCTTGTAATGTTACTGGCTTCCCTTCTTGGGATTGGAATAAGAGGATTACTTGTAAAAAAAAAAAAGTACAACCAAACACAAACGCATTTTAAGGAAATTGTATTACGTTTATTCAAAGCTCATTCTTAATTGTATTATCAAAAGATAGCAGGCCACCTTTTAGAACTACCAATGTCACTTCGACCACCGTCATCGACAACTCCAACCCCGGGGCCCGGACATCCTAGCGGTGGTGCCATCGAGAACAATGAGGCCATAAAAAAAAGTAATTCGAGTGACTGGAGTTGGACGGAGTCTAACGGGAGAGTGACTAAATGTGACCTGTTTTAGTAATTCAAGTGACCAAAATTGATATTAATTTTTTCTAGTGACTAAACATGACATAATTTAGTAATCCCAGTGACCAAATGTGGCATTTACCCAAACAAAATCCATCTCTTTCACCATTCTCACTCACATCGCTGGCAGAAATCCCAAACAAAGGACCATTCCTACTTCTCAATTCAGATTCGTAGAATCTACAACAAACTCTGATAGATTACACGATGGTACCCACAAACAGGATTCAGATGAATGTTGCCGTAATTGGATCGACGTCTTCTACCCAACCGTCATTAAGAGCTAACGTAATACGAACCTGAGGGGTTGTATTTTTATCAAAGTAACGCACCAAACAATCAATCCAAAGATTTATTGAACTCGAATCAAGAACAACGTGTTCTTAATACGAAATTGGGATAAAACGGAACCAACGGACAATTCCACACCTGGGGAAAGGTCGTATGGTATAAAGGGTAGCTGCTCGACCACGATTGAAGAGGATATTCAATAGATACAAGGCTCACAAGCTTGGAATCCACCAAACTCAAACAAGTCGCAACTTGCACAAAACCAAAGGTTTTTTCGATTAATCAAAGTCTTCTTATTACAACGTAAACTAGAAGGTATTTAAAGAAAAATAAACCTAATACAATCCTAACAGAGCTAGGAAACAATTAAGTTAAAAGTATACACTAAAAAGGACACAAAAATTTGGGTTTAAACTCCCTTTCTTGAAGCACAAGCAAGCTGCCAGCAAACAGTCAAAAGGCCTTGGAAAACAACCTTAATCACATCTTCTGGATCCACAAAGCATACCATTGGAAACATGGCAACTTTGTCTGTAAAACAAGCCCTTGAACTGGAATTTCCATCAAGCCAATTGAGAGAACTATGCCTCCAAATTATGTACCCTGAACACGGATTTTGACTTAGCCAAATTCTATCTTTCTTCTTACCAACTTCGATAGCTTCTTTGTCAAGTAATCATGATGTGAATGGTTGGCAATTTGGGATCATATTAGGCCCTCTCTCTTGAAAAAGTGTTGCCCTCAACATTTTGGTCTTTCGTTGCTCAAACCATTCACAAAATTGATCACAAAATGGATCGAAAGAAGGCTTCTCAAACATTGTTTTCGGTACAACTTTGGCAGCTTCATCTGTTCGTTCTTCTGCTTCTTTCGGACGAAATTCCAGCTCCTGGATCTTCATAGGACTCCATTGGGCACCTTTCATGCTTTCAGTTGGGACAATTACGCCCAGACTACAATTTTCCTCATTTCCAGATTCCGGCAGCTCATACCGCAACAATGAACTTCGCCAAATTGGGGGTTTTGGATTCAAGCTCTTCCACGCCAATTTGTCCCTTGATTTGACATCGCCCGAATCCCCATAGATGATTCGAAGCAGCTCAGAACGTTGTCGAGGCCTCCATCTTGCCAATTGAAGCTGGGAAGTTTTCCCGCTCTCAGCAGAATCTAAATTCCGTGAACCCAGCACCATCAATCCCGAATTGGGCGTTTCTATTCCAACCACCTTCTGATCAAATTGATCGAACCTAAAACATCCTGAAGATGGTGTTAATGACTCTGCAGTGTCAATTGCCATCGATTCATGCCCAGGCGTCCCACCCCATTCGCTCGAAAATCATTCTTCTTTGGGCGCGTCCAGCAGCTTTTATTTCAATTTGGGCGTTTTCTCTACACCACGTCGCACCGAACGACGTCTTCGTAGCTTCCGATTTTGAACGGTAAGGTCACCTCCTCTGTCACAAAAACAGAGCTTCCTATTTCCAACAATGATGTCGAGTAAGGAGCCAGATGCTTTCGTATCGGCATCCCCAATTTAGCCACTGCTCGTGAGCTAATCAAGTTCGATTGGCTCCCACAATTGACATACACGGAGCACACCTTCTCTCCCACCAAACAGTGAGTATATAACGTCATATTCGCTTGTTATAATTCGACCACCATGGCTGCCCAGTTTCTCGACGATTCTGCTTGTACGAAACAATTTGTTTTCGCCTTCTCTTTACCCTTGTGTAGAACGGGGCTCTGATACCACTTAATACGACCCTGGGGTGTATTTTTATCAAAATAACGCAACAAACAATCAATCCAAAGCTTGATTGAACTCGAATCAATTCTATTTACAAATTGAACTTATATCCTTAACGTTATAGTCAAATTTAGTTTATTTTTATACTTTTTCATGCAAATTTATTTATAGTGCAAGTTGAACATGTACCTTTAACATTATGATACAGTTCTTTGTCAAAAAAACATTAAGATACAGTTTGACCTATATATTTTCATACATATTACTTTATGACACAAATTGAAATTATACTTTAATGTTATTGTGCAAATTGAATTTATACTTTAATGAATTTGACAGGGATAATCAGTCTGGTTGCAAACACCAATAATTGAAGTACAGTAGATGATCTCATATATATATGGAAAAAGCTAGTGTAGCCTAGCGTATGTTATATGCTTGCGTTCACAACTATTATTTGTACTTTGATATATTTCGATGAATAAAATCATTGGTTATTGTTTTAAAATTAAATGAATCTCATGATTTGGGTTAGAAAATTAGAGACTGGGTTTCACCCATTAGATGTTAGGGTATAATATTATGCCCGAACTTCAGTTAAATCAATGATCTAAATAACAAAACGCAACAAATGTAGTCTACCTTGAACCACATATATATACTTTTGATTTTGCTCAAGCTACTAAAGAAGAGCGCCATATATATAACATATTAGTTAAAAAGGAATGGCTTTTTTAGATGGAGATCCGATTCATTTTTTAATTAGCAATTTGGATGTTTTAAACCCGCCAAAATGACCAGAGGATCCTTCCTAGCTATGCGCATAAGCTAGGAAAAACTCAACTATATGGGTCCTCACGCGGAACCTCTATATATGGGCTAAGATCAGGTGACTAAAGGGGGTCCCTTAGTCACATGACTAAGCCAATCTTGGCCATTAAATCTCATTAAAATCTAATTGTTTATATTTACCTAGTTTAATGAAGGATAGGATGGTAATTACATAATTTAATTATTTAACAATTAAAATAAATAAAAAATCACAGCTTGTACCTTCGTACTCCTGCCGCGGGTTCTTTGCTGGGGAATTCTCCCCGCTTTTGACCCACTTTAACTACGAGTACGAGAGAGAGAGATTTCAGGTTATCGGAGTAGACTTGTTCAGCGATCGGAGTAGACTTTTCGGCTACTAGAGACGACGGAGAAGGATTTCCCTGCGACAATATTGGATTTGTGATGTTTGTTGACCAATTTTGTAATGTTGTATCGATTCGGTTTGTATTGTTTGTCATTTTTAGTGATATTTTGGACGGTTAGTATGCTTTGTACTGTTTGTCGGGTTTTTTTGTAATGTTTGTAAGCTTTGTTATTTTGTAATGTTTGCGGGTTCTTTTGTAATGTTTGTAAGCTTTGTTATTTTTGTGCACCATATTTATAATTTTTGTCAACCATGTTTGTAATATTTTTTATATCTAAAAAACAACCTGGTTGACTTTTGGATGAAACTCCTCTATATAGGGATGGAGCCTACAAAGCAAGGACCAGGGTACCGTACCGGACCGGCCGGTCGGACCGGAAAAACCAGAAACCGGACCAGACCCGACACAATAGGGGTTGTGTAGCCTTCAAGATCCTGCCGGGTGGTATTTACGGTTGGACCGCAATGGGCCG